GTGATCCACCCGCCTCGGCCTCCCAAAGTGCTGGGATTACAGGCGTGAGCCACCGCTCCCGGCTCGGGTTAAATTTTAAAAGCACTCTAAGAATGTCCTCCATTCAGACGGCTGGCGGGTATTAGAATTTTATTTTTTGTTTACAGTTCTGAGGAGTGTAAAAGAATGAGTTCGTTTTTAACCATCTTCTGTTCTCATTAACACAGGTAAACTAAACCCATATAGAAAGCAAATAAAGGAAAAATTTCAACTCATATGGGAAAAGGAAACCTGTCTTCACGTCCCTGAGCATTTCTACAAAGAAAGCATGAAGCATGAGTGTACAGTATTGAATAAGGCATATTCTGCTGCAGCTACACCAGTCACTGTGGTCGTGGAAGGTCCTGATGGAATCGGAAAAACAACCCTTTTAAGAAAAGTGATGTTGGACTGGGCAGAGGGAAACTTATGGAAGGACAGGTTCACATTTGTATTTTTCCTCACTGTCTATGAAATGAACAGTATCACAGAGACCAGCTTACCGGAGCTCCTCTCTAGGGACTGGCCTGAGTCTTCAGAGAAGATCGAAGACGTTTTTTCCCAGCCAGAGCGAATTCTGTTGATCATGGATGGCTTTGAGCAACTGAAGCTTGACCTGGACCATACGGCTGACTTGTGTGACGACTGGAGGCAGCGGCAGCCACTGCCAATTATCCTGAGCAGTTTGTTGCAAAAAAAGATGCTCCCGGAGTGCTCCCTGCTTCTTGCATTGGGACAAGTGGGTATGCGAAAGAACTATTTTGTGTTGGAGCATCCCAAACTCATCAAGCTCTCAGGATTCACTGAACCTGAAAGGAAGATGTATTTCTCCTGCTTCTTTGGTGAGAAGAATAAAGCCTTGAAAGTCTTTAATTTTGTGAGAGAGACTGGACCGCTGTTTATCTTGTGCCATAATCCCTTTATATGCTGGTTGGTCTGTACTTGCATGAAATACAGGCTAGAGAGGGGGGAAGACCTTGAAATAAACTCCCAAAACACCACCTCCTTACATGCATCCTTTATAACAAACGTATTCAAAGCAGGAAGTCAGAGTTCTCCACCCAAGTTGAACAGAGCCCGACTGAAAAACCTCAGTGCTTTGGCTGCAGAGGGACTGTGGACACATACGTTTGTGTTTTGCCGTGAGGATCTCCGGAGGAATGGGTTATCTGAGTCTGAGGGCTTGATGTGGGTGGGTATGAAGCTTCTCCAGAGGTCAGGTGACTGTTTTACCTTCGTCCACGTGTGTATCCAAGAGTTCTGTGCCGCCATGTTTTATTTGCTCAAAGGACCCAAAGACTGTCCTAACCCGGCCATTGGAAGCATAACCCAGCTTGTGAGAGCAAGTGTGGCTCAACCTCAAAACTTCTTGACCCAGATGGGGGTATTTGTGTTTGGAATTTCCACAGAAGAAATCGCCAGCATGCTGGAGACATCCTTTGGTTTTCCACTGTCAAAAGACCTCCAGCAGGAAATAGCCCAGTGCCTTAAAAGTTTCAGTCAGTGTGAAGCTGACAGGGAAGCCATAGGTTTCCAGGAATTATTCAGTTGTTTATTTGAAACTCAGGAAAAAGAATTTGTAACACAGGTGATGAATTTCTTTGAAGAAGTTTACATTTATATTGCTAACATAGAACACTTGGTCATAGCTTCATTCTGCGTGAAGCATTGTCACAACTTAACTACACTTCGCCTGTGTATGGAGAATATCTTTCCCGATGACTCAGGATGTGTTTCAGAGTGAGTCTGGCTGTCAATCCCCCACCCCAGGCTCTACACTTGGGGTTTGTGCTAGTGTCCAGTGGGTATTTCATGGGCCTTAGCTATTGTGTTTAAGAGCACGGAGGCTGTGGTCAGAAAGGCTTCCCTTCCAGCCTTGGCACTACTGTTTGCCAGCTGTGGGATCATGAGCTTCAACTTCTTGAACTTTTTCTATTTGTATAAAGAGGAATAAAAGTTTTATCTACTTCATAAGGCCAACGTGTGAAGTTAAGAGGCTAGCAGGATTTTTCTTTTTTGAGATGGAGTCTTGCTCTATCACCCATGCTGGAGTGCAGTGGCGTGATCTCGGCTCATTGCAACTTCCACCTCTGGTGTTCAAGCGACTCTCCTGCCTCAGCCTCCTGAGTAGCTGGGATTACAGGCCTGCGCCGCCGTCTCTGGCTAATTTTTGTATTTTTGTTAGAGATGGGGTTTTGCCATGTTAGCCAGGCTGGTCTCGAACTCCTGAACTCAGGTGATCCGCCCAAAGTGCTGGGATTACAAGCATGAGCCACTGTGGCCTGCCTTCCACCTCTTTTGCCTTTTTTTTTTTCCCCCCAATTTTATTGTTTTCAGACTGTGCTTCCCCACCTCCCCCCGAGCATGTGCAGTATCCTCTGGTGACCTCACTGGGAGGGGACTCTTGTTCATGGTAATGTTTTTGGATGTAGCTCCCTGTCCACTGAGAGGTCACCAAATAACCCTTGTTCACATAACAATCAAGTATTCTCATCTAAAAGAGGAGGGAATGCAGCAGAATAAGGCTGAATAGCTTGTGCAGGGTCACACAGTTACAAAGTGCTTACACCAGAGTTTGATTCCAGTCAATTACTCTTGTCTCAGGATCCACCTTATTTTTACTTCCAACTTTTAAGTTCGAGGGTCCACGTACAGCATGTGCAGGTTCCTAACGTAGGTAAACGTGTGCCGTGGTGGTTTGCTGCACAGATCGCTTCATCACCCAGGTATTAAGCCCGGCATCCACTAGCTACTCTTCCTGATGCTCTCCCTCCTCCCAACCCCACACGCCAACAGGCCTCAGTGTGTGTCGTTCCCTCCCTGTGTCCGTGTGTTCTCATTGTTCATCTCCCACTTAGAAGTGAGAACATGTGGTATTTGGTTTTCTCTTGCTGCACTGGTTTGCTGAGGATAATGGCTGCCAGCTCCATCCATGTCCCTGCAAAGGACATGGTCTTGTTCCTTTTTATGGCTGCAT